ACTTTCCTATCCAAAAGCAATGAGAATATTATTTATGTTTTTCAAAAACTTGTGAGCGACTTCCTGCTTCTCCTTCTTCCCCTTCGGAATTAACCCAGCTCCTTTTGGACTTAAAACTCTAACATATTAATTTTTAATCACTTTCTCAAATTCCACAAAGAAGGCTGTTGAAATTTGTATTGGAATCACATTGGATTTGTAGGTACATTTGGGAAAGTTGAAATCTTTACGATGATTAATCTTCCTACCTGTGAACACAGCATGCATCTCTGTTGAACCCACTCTCCTTTTATATGCTTCAAAACTATTTTGTCATTTTACCCATGTAGAACTTGGATATCTTTTTAATGTATTTGTAAGTGTCACATGTTTTGTTATATTGAAAATGTTTTTTAAGTTCCTGTTCACTTTCCAATGTTTATTGCTGTCATTATAACTTTTATGTATAACTGTATCTCCACCATTCTAGCTAAACTGTCTTATTTCTTGTGTTTTGTCTGAAGAATCTTTTGCATATTTGTCATAGAAAACTATATTGTCCGAACATTGCAATTTTGTCTTTTTCTATTTAGCTCATAATCTCCCGCATCCTTTCCTTCTCTTATTGTAATCGTTAGAACCACCAGCATGGTGCCAGAAGATGATGTATTAGTTACGTCACTGGACTCTTACATGGTCAACTGTGGCTTCAAACTCATGCTGGGCACATGTATGTGCATGCCCAAAATCCCAAGAGGAGAATGGAGGAGAAGGGATTGCAGTAAGGCCATCCCCCGATGTGTGGGCGGTTGTGAGTTCTCACTTTCTGTCTCTCTGTTTCTCCAGTGAGTGCATGTGCCCTAGCAAAAATATCTCTTAAAAACAAAACAAAACACCTCCAGTACATGATGAACAGTGTAAGTGATTCTGAGGAAGACAAATCATATTTCCTTTCCAGTCTTAGTTTATCAATAGTTCACTAATAGCTTTTGTTATGAAAGGATAGTGAATTTCAATAAATACTTTTCATACGTTTATTGAGATACTGCATGTTTTTATTACCCTTAATCATTGATATGTTCAATGCATAACTGTTTTCTACTGCTGAACATCTAATCTATACGAAAGTAAAATAAACATCATTTGGCAGTGTTGCTGCTGAATTAAATTTGCCAAAAATCTTCTAGGAAGATCGACCTTTAGGAATATTGACCCAGAGAAAGAGAGTAAGCTTTGTAATTTTGCATCTACATTTATAAATGAAATTAATCTTTGTTTTCTTATTGTGCTCTCCTTAAAAGGTTTGGATACCAAGGTTATCAAGTTATACTAGCTTCAAAAATGGGTTAAGTGGTTTCCCTCTTGTAGTCTCTGGACAGACAGCATCAAATTGGAATAATCTGTAGGTCACAGGTTGCTGAAAGCCCCTGAGAGAGCTCTCCGGCCATGGAGCCCTTGTGTTGGGAAGGGAGGTAGGTGTGAGTTGCAATTACCAGGTAGAAGTTTTAATGGCTATCTACGCGGGTCACTATTTTTTTTTTCATTGACTTTGGTACATTTTGTTTTAAATAAGCCCAATTACCTAATTTAGTCATAAAATTGATCATGTTCTCTTTGGACTTGAGGATTTAGAAAGATGACGTCTATACTTTGACCCCATTTTCCTCTTCCTATTTGTTTCTGCCTTGTCTGTCTTTTGCTCAATCAATTTTCCAGATACTTTTAAATTTCTTAGTGGTTTTCTTTGTGTGGCTGTGAACCAGTTTTGGTCTTGCTGACCACTATAACTGCTTCTTATTTCTTTAACTTTTTGCTCTTACCTTTAATGATTTCCTTCTTTCTATTTTATCAGGTAGAAAAAACTTGGCTTAGGCCAGCCCGTGGTGTGATGGTTAACATGGCTGGATCCCACATGGCCAACCGCATGGTGTGAGTTGCAGACCTGGTGGCTTGAGAGGCACGCCGGGTACACGTACTTGCTTGCCCAAAATTCCAAAAGCAAGGAGAGATGGAGGAGAAAGGATGGAGGTGTGACCATTTCTCACAGGGGTGCTTTCTTGCTTTCCGTCTTTCTCTCTCCCTCTCTCTCTCTCTCTCTCCAGTAAACAGATGTGCCCTCTGGCAAAGAAAAATTAATAAAATAACTTGACTTATTAACTTTCAATCTTATTTCATTATATGTGTCTGTGTATGTGTATATATGTGTATATGTATATACACATATACACACATATATAAATTCACTCCTAAGTACTACTAAAGTATAGTGTATTATAGATTTCCCTAAGAAATGCTTCAAGTACATCCAACAAGTTCCAATTTGTAGTGTGGGTTTTTTTTTTTTTTTTGGTGATTTTCTTGATTTCTGCTTTAACCAATTAATAATTCAGAAATTTGGTTTTACTTTCTAAACATACATAAGTTTTTACTATTGCTTCTTTATTAGTTTCCATTTTATTGCATTATGTTCAGCAAATGAGAATGTTATCAATTATTTGGGATTCACTGAGAATTTTCTCTGGTGTAATACAAAATGATCTTTTGTAAATGTGTTACATGTACCTGAAAAGAAGAAATTCACTCCGTTATCTGATTAAATGTGTGTATAATTCTTGTGTGTGTGTGTGTTTGAGTGTGTGTATATACATTTGAGTATATATAAACATATGTCATATATGAGGGTACTTCAAAGTTCTTGGAAATATGAAATTAGAGTAGAGTTATTTTGGTTCAAAAGTTTGAAATGTATATGCATTTTTCATAATACACAGTCTCTATTAACTTTTTGAAGATCTCTTATATACATATCACACTTGCTATTTGGCATACTACATAATATTTATGTGTTCAGTTTAATGAAAACACATTTTTTAATTGCCAGAGGCCACAGGAAAGCAGAGCAGCTCTGCTTTCATCTGAGATAGACACTGGGCCGAGGGTCAAGACTGCACCCCCCACCCCCCCACAGCAGGACATGGTCGTGCCATCCCTTCTGCTCCTGCTCTCCATCCTGTCAGGGTCCTGGACATGCAAGCACATGTGCCGGCCATGTTTTTCAAGCTGCTGGGCCAGGATTCAAACTGTGAGTCAGACATATTGAGCTGCCTGGCTCCCTTAATGACCAGGCTACAGGGCTGGCCCAAAGTACAAGTTTTAAAAAATGAATAGTTATATCTTACAACTCTGATTATCAAATAATTAACATTAGTTACTAATTGATTATTAAGCCAAGCCTGTTTAGTTTGTAAAAAAATGCATTGAGCCAACGCCACAAACAGTCCTAGGTAGAATATAGGGAATACCAAAGTTCCTGTGGCCGCCATGCTTACGACACCGCTGCCTTCTCAGCCATCAGCCCACAACCACCTCAGGAAAAAGGCGAATCGTTTCTCCGAGCGCTTACTACGTGCCAAATGCTGTCCTGAGCATTTTACTGTTAAGCTCATTCCATCTTCACAATAAACTGAGGAGATAAGCCCTATTTCATAGGTGGGAACGCTGAGCAGAGCGGTTGGTCTGCTCAAGCCCACTGCAGGAAAACAGCAGCTTTCTCAGGGTGGAAAACTAGCCCTTGCTTCTCAGTTAGAGTCTTAATCACAATTCTGAGATACCATTAGGTTCTTAACACCATGTCGGTGCCACATCTGGATTTGCAACATACTCATCATAGCTGTGTTCTTCTCTGTAAGTTGTTACAAAGAAAAAAAAAAAAAAACGACTTTTCCCCTTAAATTTGCACCATTTCCATGTGCTTCTCATAGAAATTAAAAAACAGCTGCAATTAAATTCACTGTTAAGCTCCTTAAAATTTTGATAGGCTAGTTGATTGGAATTCATTTTAAATCATTCCTTTCATGAAAAACACAAGAACGCATAACTTTGACATGAAGAGTACATATGATCTCCTAAGGTTACATTAGGAAGCTGGAGTCAGGGAGGTTGCAGCATCCTGTCAGACGTGGAGTTGTATTTCCACAGGCTTCCTGGTTAATCTCCTTGTTTGATCCTCCATAAAATGCAGATGGAGATCTGACTTCTCCATGATATTGAGGATTACTGTAAATTACATTTATAAAGAAAACAGGAATATTAGTTCTTCAAAAAGGGTTAAAATAACAAGGTGGGTTTTTTATTTCATGAATGTAATTTGATTCCCAATTTAGAGACACAGAGCTTCGATCCAAGAATATGTAGAAATCCAGTTATACAGAGTCCTAAGTAAATCAGTTCAAGTTTTATCTACTTACATTTTATAATCTTCTGAGTTTAAGCTGGATTCTGTCTCTGCACATTTATGTGGTTTAGAATGGTAGCCTTCCAGCAAGGTAATGGGAAGCCCCAGACCGGTAAGGCAGGTGCCTCAGGGTCACCTGAGTACTCGGTCAGGTCAGGTCAGGTCTGGAGACTGAGCTGCTGGAGCTGGGGCCCCACTCCTCCCCTCAACCAGGGCAGCTCTGCTTTCATCCGAGGTAGACACTGGGCCGAGGGCTAAGGCTGCCTTGAAGAATCGGTTCCAAATCCATTAGATGACCAATGAGCTAATGTTTGCTCGACTAAGTGCACCCTGTGTTATATGCCTGTACAATGCAGGTCAGTTCTACAGACATAGACGACACAGGACCAGAGGATGGCATAACGGTTATGTCGCTGAACTTTCAAGTAACGTACACTCCAACCTGTGTTTGGAGTCTCTGACCCAGGGGCTTAAAACTCACACCAGATGCATGTGTGTACATGCCCAAAATCCCACAAGGAGAATGAAGGAGAAGAGATCATGATGTGGTCAACCCCTCACCTGCCCGGGGGAGGAGGGATTTCTTGCTTTCTGTCTCTCTGCCTCTCTCAGTCTCTCCGGCAAGCATACATGCCCTACTGCAAAAATTTCTCTTAAAAAAGAAAAAAAAAAAGAAAGGAGTGGACTCTAATCCAATGTCAAATGTAAAAGCCTTGCTTCTCTGAAAGAGAGCATTTATCGGACAACGCAGATAAAGACGACGCAGAGCTGCACGTATTTACTGGGTGACTTACAGAGTTTATTGCCTTGAGGGCTGGCGTGGATACATTCTCTGGAAATACCCCAGAGTGCTCTAAAGAATTGGTATAATTCATCCAGAGCTTTTAGTTATTTCTGACATCTCCAATTTACTTGGCTTTCGTCCTGACACACAATACTTGGTTCTATTTCTGGCTGACACAAATAATATATAAATACTCATAAACACACACAAGTCATTTTAAATCCACATTAGACCTGTGAATCAGTTCAACAAAACCTGCATTTCATGTCATTGTGTCTTCGGATGCTTTTGATGTGCCATGAATTAATCACTGCACATTTACTGTTAGTCTAAGATATGTGTTCAGCACCAAACTTCTTTCTGGTCATGGTGCCCAGAACAGAACTGAGGGAGAATTATGGGCGTGAGCTCTGGAGTCTGAACTTTTGATCCTTCGCGAACTCACTGGGAGACTGGGGGAAACGACTTAGCTTTCCCCACTGCAGCGATGGGGCTGATGCCCGCTTCATAAGGCCATTGTGAGGATCCGAACAGCAACAGCCAGACAGCACGGAGACACGTCTGCCGTCCACCCTTTGTGCATCGGGACTGATGAGGCTCAGGTGTGGCGGTGACTGCCGTTAGGCACTGTGTTCTGGAAGGCTTCTCACTGCTGCGTTCCTCGCTGCTAAGAGTAAGACTTGATCTGGCCTGAAATAAACTGACCCCATGAGGCAATGAGCTGTAACGTACAGACACGAGTGAGCTAGAGTATCCGATTCACAGAATTTTTAATCTCATACCTTTACCCACAGTTTTCTGGGACTCGAAGTCTCCACTTGACATTTACTCATCTTCAAACACTAGCAACATTCAAAACTCCTTCTTGGTCATCAGTTTGGTTTTCTTCTGTAAGGTATCTCTTATAGTCAACACAAAAAGGAAAAAAGAGGCAGACCTTATTAGTTTTGCTCTACCAGGTTCACTTCGCAAGGAATGGCATATCTCCACTGGGCATCTTTGATACACGTACCAACTCCTTTGCTTCTGGGACCGCAGGTGTCCTGCCTCGTTACCTCATGAGAGTGAGAACATTCTTGAGAAATTCTTCCACCTAAGAAACCCTTTTCTCTCTCTTCTGCCAAAGGCCAAGAAAGGGTTTATAAGCTAGATGAGAAGGCTGGAAAGGAGAGAAATATTTTCCATCACTGTTAAATAATAATTAAAACAAAGTGCATACGAGTAACTTCTGGAGTTGGACTACTTTGGAGGAAAACAGTATTTACCAAGTCACATATGAGATCATTTGAGCGATCACATACACTTGATAGTTTTAAAACAGTTTAGGGAAAAGCATAACCACCCAGAGAAAGGGCTGCGAGGCCAGAATGCTTGGCAGGTTATTGGAGAGGCCTCATACCAATTTGCTGTCACTAGCGGCTTTGATAACTGGAGGACCCATTATAAATCTAATTTAACTTCATCTTCAGATAAGGTTTTCCAGGGCCCCAACCCCAAGCTTCAAAGCACATATCTACGTGAAAGTGTGAAGAGGGGCTCCTGTCCTCAGTACGAATTGCCTCCTTGACCTCACAGAGGGCAGTTCCCTATACACGTGCTCCTGTGACCGGCTGAGTGTGTCTTTCCCAAATCCTATTACAGACTGCTCATTCTTTTCTCCTAAATCCTGCACTTTTATGAGCAGGGTAGTTTATATTGGTGAGTACGCAGTCTCCTTGAAAAATCATGTTTTCTTTCTAGTACAATTTTTTTAAAATAATGATATGGCATACTTCCAATAAAATTAAACCTGCTGTTTAATTAAATAACGACTAATACCTACCCCTTTTCATGTTCAGATCAATCCTAATTTGGGTGGCTAGATAGTCAGCATATTTACACAGCACTCACCAGGTATTACATGCCATTTACATATGTAAATTACATATGCTATCATCAAACTGAGGCCCGGCTATAGAAAATCGGTGGTAAAAATCAGCCGAGAAGTGACCTGATGTTTGGAACCTGGAGATGATGAAACTGCATAGCAAAGAGAAAGTCAGGCTTCTATGTTTGTGTAAAGATTATGATGTTAGAAGTAGGAGAATACCCACTGCAAGAAGAAACTTCAGAAAAGTGATGTTTAGAATACAGGGAGAGAGCTCTCAGATCCCACTCCCAACACTGAAGCCAAGGCCGTATTTCTCGGTTGCAGCCAAGATCCACCCAAATGTGTCAGGTCTAAGATCTTCAGTCACTTAAACCTGCTGTAGAAAGACAGATTCCCATCCAGGGACTTGTAAGAAGATGCTTCAGTTTCTTTAAACTTGGTCCAAGGAAGCATGACTGCTATTCTGTTCCACTAAAACTCTTATCTTAACCATTCAAACTCACATTTCCAGATTGCTTTGGAAGTTTTTCTGCAGAAATTCAAAAGTCCAAGAACACCATTAATGTACTCTGCTTCTCATCAGTTATCTCCTCCTAATCCCATTATATTAATGAATAATAATTAATAATGCTTTCAGAATCCCAAGTGTTCTCAGTTACTATGAGCAAGATCAGATACTTATATCTTCTATATTTTAGATATAGCTTATTCAGCCCACCCTCAGGCTGGTCATTTGTGAGAAACTCTCAGAGAACTCAGTATAAAGTCAGACTCCAGAATTATGATTTATTACAGCAAAAGGATAAAAGCGAAATCAGCACAGGGAAAAGGCACACGGGATGAAGTCGGGGGAGGGGGGGACCAGGCACAGGCCGCTGAGGTCCCCTCCCAGTGGGATCTCACAGGGTGTGCCCAGCTCCCTGCAGCGAGCCATGACGAGCGTGCCACATGTGCCCGAACTTTGTTAGAGATGCAGGAACGGCTTTTCACTGGGGACTAGTCGTGTTAGCACACTTTGCCTGGCACATCCACACATTCCAGACCCCCAGAAGAAGAGCAAGCATTCAGCTTAAACCATATTTCCTACCAGTATTTTGGCAGAATGTGCCTCTTTTATGAGAAAAATGGTAGAAATTCACCTAAAACCCAAATTCTCGGATGCCAGCCAACAGCAGCTTTGCAAGTAGAACCTTCTCAGGATAATACTCAGGCTTCCTTTGCTAACTCTTTTATGTACATGTCGCATAACTTGCTTTTCTATAGGTTAGGAAAATAACTTAAAGAAGCCAAATTATTTTCTCATAATCACTATTAAAAGTTCCCATAAAGCATGAGTTTATAGTGGGGAAAAACCCCGGTTATCCTAGCTGATATTCTTTACAGTAGATTAGATAACATCTCATGTTTGACTAATTAAGGCTAATTTAAAGAAATTGAGATAACTAGTAATCAATAATTGGGTTCTTTTCATCCTTTATATAGCAAATAATCATACCCCTAGATTGGCCCTTTC